TTTTTTTTGTTTTTTTTTTAATGCAAAATATTGAATGTTTTAATAAAAAAAAAATTGCGTTTACTTTTCTTTTTCCAAATATGTCAATGAAGAGAAAAGAACAAAAACAAAAGAAAACAAATGAATAAACAAATAAAAAAAATGTTTTATTTTCTATACATCAATTTTTGTTGGTTTTTAACATTTTTTCCGTAAAATCTGTTTTGATTTCATTTCTCGTATTTGTTTTCTTCTTCTTCTTCTTTTCTTCTGTTCTCTTTTTTTTCACCCATTATTAATATTTTTTCCAGCCGTGAATAATTTGTTTAAAATTTTTTCTTTAATTTTAGGCCAAACCAGTAATTAACAAACAAACAAAAAAACAAGCATTAACTACTTCTTGTTAATAGTTCTAAACAAACTGAAAACAGAAACAATCGATTCCCCCTAAAGTAAACGCTCGTGACGGAGAGATAACAGAGTGAGAGAGAGAGACATACAGATAACAATGAGAGAGAGAGAGACAGAGAGAAAGATACAGTTATGATACAAATCGCGAAACAGATAAGATCAGAGATCAGAGCGGTTTTGATTCCTTCCGATTCGATTCGATAAGCCCCTCCTCCAAAAGAACGTCGACAACGTTGAGTTCCGTTACTGTTACCGTTACCGTTTACCGTTAATAGAAATTCACAAACAAACAAAATAAATAAATAAAACAAAGCGTCTATGTTTTAATACAACATTATTAACTAATTATACTTACACATTTATATTAATTAAAAATACATATATATATATATATTTAAAGTAAACAAAACGATAAACAAACAGAAAACTTTTTTTCTTTGTTTGTAAATTAAATTTAACTTTAATTTTCATTTGATTTGCAATAAAAATAAAAATTAAAAATTTCAAATCATTTATGAAATTATACAACAACAAAATAGAACTGCTGCTGCGTCTTCTTTTTCCTGTTTTCTTTTGCTAAATGGAAAAAAAAGAGAAAAGATTATTATTAATATTAAATGCGAAACGCAATATTTTAATTATATATATATTATATATATAATATATATTTATATATAGACACACCAAAAGCAGCTGCGAGTTATATATATATAAAAATAAAATACAAATTGCAATTGATTGAAACATTTTTTGTATGTGTAGTCTATCCATGTATGTATGTATGTACGAAGGTATATGTATTTATCATACACAATCACGATCGATAAAAGTAAATAAAGAGTTTGATACAAAAAAAAAAAGAAAAATTAACATTAACAAAAACTGATTATTATGAAATTGATGTTGGAAGTCTAAACGCATCAAAGCAAGCGTCTTTTAGTCATGTAAGAGCAATGATTAAATTAGTTAAAGTATCTATATATATATTTATAAATATAAATAAATTGAAAATGAAAATGTATTAAAATAATGTGCATGTGTGAACATTTTATTTGTACAGCTGATTATTAACTGTAAATCGTGTGTTACCTTTAAGGGCACCTTCAGTGCTCTGACTTAGTTAATATATCTATTAAGTTTCAAAGATGAAAAGAAAATCAACAACAACAGTAACATAATATACAATTAAATAAATAAATACATTTAATTAATTAGCAATAAATTATGTGGATTAAAATTTGTTAAAGAAAGCAAAAAGTATTTAAACTTCAAATCAATTTGACATTTTTATTTCTTCATTCCCCAATCCAACATTCATCATCTGAATATCATCCGGAGAATATTTAACAAAACTGAAATATTTTCATATTGGTTTTTGTTTTGTGTTTAGCAATAAGAAAAAAAATGCTTTAATATTTATTAAATAATTCGGGATTGAGTGCAGATTATAAGAAATTCTATGTATTGTTTCAATTAGGTTTTCATTTAACAAGATTTCAGTTGATTTAATTTTTAATGTTTTACACTCCATAAAGTCCAGAATCTATAGGTTATATAGAGTCTATAGGGGTTATGAGCGCTTAAGAGTCTATAGAGCTAAGAGAGTCGAGAGAGTGTATAGAGTCTACAGAGTGTATTTAAATTAGAGAATATATAAAGTCTACTTTGTACAGATTAGATAGGAGTATATAAGGAGTATTTCCCATTTCCACTGTTATTAAATAGATTCAATGATTTGATACAGTATTTAGATTAGATATTATTTATTTATCTGAGTAAGAGAAGATGTGGCGATACAGTATTAAATAAATTTTAAGAATGTAATGTATGTAAATATTTTCTTGTGATATATCATTTGTTAACGTTGGTATATTTTTGATAAAAATCCTTTAGAATTAGAAATGTTAGCAAAAATAATAAAAAATATAGAAAATTATAGTTATCTAAGTTAAGTAATATTAGTTGAAAATAAGACTAGCTTTGGGGCTCGCTTTGAATTAGATTAAGATAAGCGCCGTTAAATTTACAAATTAAGCGCAATTTTAGTCATTATATAATTTATTGAATTAATCAATTAACTTTTAGTACATCTACAACGGAAGAGGCAGCCAAGCCAAGAGTTTTGCGTTTCACATGGTCTATGAAGACGACATCGCCACTGATGCCCGATCAAATTATGCAGAAGATAAGAGAAGTTCTTGATCAAAATAACTGCGACTATGAGCAGCGCGAAAGGTAAGATATTCTATTATAAATGTACATTTATAATACGTATATATAATTACATATATATGTATATTTTTCAACAGATTTGTACTCTGGTGTGTGCATGGCGATCCCAATACGGATTCTTTGGTTCAGTGGGAAATCGAAGTTTGCAAATTGCCGCGACTCTCGCTGAATGGCGTTCGATTCAAGCGTATTTCTGGTCAGCGAACAACATTAAATTGCATATTAAAAATGTTGATTTATTAATTGTTTTTTAATACACTATCTGCACAGGTACTAGCATTGGCTTCAAAAACATTGCGTCACGCATTGCTTTTGATCTCCGTCTGTGACTTGACAAAACGACTAATGATAGCTGCACAGCCGCCACCAGCAACACCACCACCACCACCACCACCACCACCACCACCGATGGCAGCGATACGAAAACCACCTCCACTGCCAACTATCAAACGGCTGACAAATCGTTGCTGCGTCGATCATTTAGTCAACAACAGAGATCAAACCGATTCAAGATTCGGAATCGACCGAAGAAGAAAAGTTCAGGCGGCGGCGGCGGTGGCGGATTGCTGTTGTCGGCTTTTCAAGTATACTTGCCCTTTCGATCAAAGGAGGAGGAGCACACGCAATCACAAATCAAATTTGATGCGTTTCGCTCAGCCGACAACGAAGACGAGAGTGAGGGGCAGCGGCTAGAGTTAATGCCCAGTAACAGCAGTAATATGGAATCTCAAGATAAAGACAACCAGATGGCCAATGAAGAGGGCGGTGAGTGTGGCGTGGTGGCAATGGCTGGTGGTAGCAGCAGCAACGGCAACGGCAGCGGCAGCGGTAAAGTCAGCAAAGGAAGTCGATTTAAGAGAAACATCAAGAATACCAGAAGTCTAATTGTGCGCAAATTCACATCCACCACCAACTCCAGCTCGAACTCCAACTCCAACTCCAACTCAGCAGAGAAAAAACCAAGCGAGACTAACAACAAAACCAGCACATCAAAGCACTCAAGTGAGATGGCAGAGCAGCATGCAAATGCAAATGTTATGGATAACGATAAGCCAAACACCAAACAGAAAAAAGTAGCTATGTTACGCACCACAACTCTCTAAATAATAATAATAATTATAAAACAAAAAAACATGCATAAAAACACGTAAAAATTGGAAAGATCTGGGCACTGCCCATCTCTCTCTATTTCTAAATATATATATATATTCATTTATATATATATATATATAATATATGTATTTGGCTCCAATCATAGCATGAACACGTTTAGCATAGAATCTCAAAGTAAAATTAAATGTTTCATTGAACTATCGCATATTTGAATATCTTATAACAAAACGCAGACAAAATTGTAACCACAATTTAGGTACATAAGCACCAACAACAACAACAACAACAACAGCAGCAACAGCAACAAACCAGAAGCATAAACGCATCCCATATATGAAGCTAATGTCTCCTCATATGTAAACACACTTATTATATATTGATATTGATATCGTTAATTGCTAGAAAGCGTAGGTGAGAGCCACACCGTTTTAATTCAATAAAAGATAAATATATATATGTATGTATATATACATATACATATATATAAAAGTATATGGAATGAAAAAAGCATTTTCTTAAAGAGGCAAACACACACAATTTTGTTAATATATACATAATAAATTTAGGATATTTTTTCTGTTTGTCAAAATTTACCGATTTGATCCAAAAATTAATATATATAATATTTTGTTGGTTTTTGCATGAACGTCGTCTACTATATAAAATCTATAAAATTTCCTAAATTATTATTTTTTGATTGTTTAATTCTTTCTCCACACGAGCTACAAGCGATATAAAAAAATGTAAATTGTATTTATCTAATTATAATTATTTAACCACTTTGAAAATTTACTGTTTTGCGTTCAAATTTATTTTCCGTGTTTACGTTTAAATTGTCTAGTTATTCATAGGTGGAATTGAGGTGGGTGAAACAGAAAACCTGCTTCAATTGTTATTTTATCAAACAGTTGCTAAGGTGAGTATTTAAATGACGGGTGTTAGGCGAATTCGATCTAATGCAGTCACAATTTGGAAGAATATTAACTCAGTTCAAAAAAAAAAAAATATTAAAATAAACTTAGCAAACCTTTAGGTGATGTCACTAATAAGCTGACGCCAATGCGCTTAATGAGGTCACACAGAAAGGCCGATAGCCTTGCATCAGTAAATACAATTTATAAAAAAACATACATAATTCTTTATAATTCCATCAGCTGGACTTTCTTTTACATACATATATTTTTCAAGTTAATAAAAATACCAATATCTCGACTGTAAATTATCACAATAAATATTATAATGAGTAAATTAGAGATTTTAATTAGGCATAAATAATAAAATGGAATCTCTTCAAGAAAATCAGTTTTCGATTACAGCTCATCGTCAAGATCAAAGGTTTCAGCCGGAAAATCGCCCACTTCCACGGAGAGAGGTGAGACAAAGCCACCATAATTAGGTTGACAGATGAAATAGGATTTGCCGTCCACACTATAATGCATAAGTCTATTTAAAAATGTTTTCAGCATATATATCACAATGCATTTACCTTCCGTTATTCTTGCCCAATGGCTCATCATATTGGACACCAATATAAATGCCATTTTTACCCTCAAGTTGACCATTGTACATTACAGTGCCACGACGTGTAGGATTTCCTGACACACTCACCTAAAGAGACAGAGAGAAAGAGGTAGAGAGTGAGTGACTTTTGATGAGTAACCACAGCAGCAGGCAAATTACCTGGCAACGACTGCCAACAACACAAAGATCTGCACGTCTTTGTATTTCTTCAGCCTGTTCACGCCGTTTGATTTCCATTTGCTGCCTTTCCTCCTCATTGTATTTGCCCAGTCGATTTTGCTTTAAGAAATTCCGCACAGAATCCGTTCGCTGTTCGTATTGATCATTTGTAAGCTCAAATTTTTCAACCGTCTCTGTGTCAAATGTAAAGTTTGCAAAATTATCAATGACATGCAGTCGCATGCCATCGGAATTTATATAGAAACCCAGCTTGGCATCGTTGTCGCTTAGCGTTGTTACAAAATTGTCGCCTTTATACAACTCTACTTTCATGGTGCCAGCATTTCCGCCGGTTAAGATTTCCAATTTACTCTGCAAGAGCACAATTCGCACATCTGTTATTGTAGTTTACAAAAAAGTGCTTTAATGCTCACCTTTAGCTGAGAGATGGTTAAGTCCTTGGCAAATTTTATCTCAAAGGCCACGGTATCATTATGGGAATTCGAGACATTAGCTGTAATAAAGCCTGAATCCGAATTATTAACTTGCAGTATTTCCGACATGTTTAACTTCAGCGTTTGTCGTCACTTTAAGGCTTAGCCGATTAGTCTTCACGATGACCGATAATTTCCAATAAGGAATATCGTACGAGTTTCACGATATTCGTCTAAACTTTGTTAGTCTCACTGACCAGTGATAGACTTTAGCGGGAATGGTTACTACGTTACTATAAAAGTTTTAAGATATAAAATAAAAACTGAGTTTGAGCAAGTGTGTTTTCTGTTAAAAAAAAATCACTTGCACAAATATATATATATAATTTTGCATAGTAAGAAAATATTATTGAAATTAATTGTTTTCCAATTGGAAACAAGAAACCAGTAAAAATCGATTTTTAATTGAGACAGTCTACTGTCTGATACACATAGATATATCGATGTTTATGTACATCACTAGTTAATACACAAATCAGCTGCTTAATATCCTTAAAAATTGTGTTCAAGTTATGTGAATTAATGGCTATGCAAAATAAATGGCATTTGTTTATAAATATGCCAGTACATATAGATAATTATGATACATGATAAAATGTAAAATAGTGAATACAGCGATAAAATGAATAAGTACACAAGTTTAATAGGCATTGAGCAGCGAAGCAAAACTATGTATCATCCAAAGGAACAAATTTTAAATATCTTGACATACATACTTTTGCTAGTAGTTGCTGTGTGTGCAATTGTTCTGCTATGTGACTTATCCAGTCAGCGTGATGGATTCTTCTACTCCAAAAAAGATGGAGCCGTACTCGACCTGTCCGTATCCCATACTCAGGAAGTGCTTCTGCGGCCGGACACGGAATATCGTGGACAAAATGTGAATTGCACTTTTTGGGATTGCTTAAACATATACAAATGCGAGCATGACACACTCAAGGTATACATTTACCCGTTGCAAGAGTTTTTGGACGAGAAAACCGATAAGGTTGCCAGCACGTTGTCAAGCGAATACTTTCAAATCCTGGAAGCCGTGCATAAGAGTCGCTACTACACATCGAATCCCAATGAAGCCTGCCTCTTCCTGCCGAGCCTGGATTTGCTGAATCAGGATGTGTTCGACAAGCATTTGGCTGGTCCAGCGCTGGCTTCGCTCAACTTCTGGGATCGTGGGGAGAATCATTTAATCTTCAACATGCTGCCGGGCAGCGCACCTAACTATAACACCATCTTGGACGTGAACATCGACAACGCCATTGTTTTGGGTGGTGGCTTTGACAGTTGGACATATCGTCCCGGATTCGATGTCTCGATACCGGTTTGGAGTCCATTAGTGCATCAAACCAACTTGTTGCCTGCCCACGCCGCATCTCATCGCAAATATTTATTAGTTTCTGCTCAGCTGAATCTTTTTCCGCAGAATCTACGAACTCTTACGGATTTAACGTTGACAGCTAAAAGCGCGGACCAAATTCTAATGCTTGGACTCTGTGATAACAAAGATTTGAAATCTCGCTGCACTCTGACAAAGGCAAATCCGAAGCGATGGGAATACCCACGAGTGCTGGGACGCGGCAAGTTCTGCTTCCTCGGACGCAGTCTGCGCATTGGTCAGCCCGACTTAATCGAGATAATGTCTCAGGGCTGTATTCCTGTGATAGCGATTGACAACTATGTGCTACCATTTGAGGACGTCATCGACTGGTCTCTGGCGGCCGTTAGAGTGCGAGAGTCGGAGTTGCATTCAGTCATGCGTAAATTGGAGGCCATTTCCAATGTCAAAGTCGTTGAAATGCAGAAGCAGGTGCAATGGCTCTATACCAACTACTTCAAGGATCTGAAGACAATTACCATTACAGCATTGGAGATACTTGAGAGTCGCATATTTCCACTGCTGGCCCGCAGCAGCCAGCAATGGAATGTGGTTAAGAGAAATAGTCGTTCCACATTTAATCCTCTATTTCTTACGACTCTCGCTCCAAAGTCTCAAGGCTTTACAGCTGTTATATTGACTTATGATCGAGTTGAGAGTCTATTCCTTTTGATACAGAAGCTAGCAGTTGTGCCGTCCCTGCAAAGCATTCTGGTTATTTGGAACAATCAGAAAAAGATGCCACCACATTGTAAGTTTATTATATTATTAATCTGAATTCAACATTAATTACTATGAATTTCTCTTTTTATATTTTTTTAGTATCTACATTCCCAACCATATCTAAACCACTGAAGATTATACAGACTCGTGAGAATAAACTATCAAACAGATTTTATCCCTATCCTGAAATTGAAACCGAAGCAATACTAACTATTGACGATGATATCATAATGTTAACCAGTGATGAACTTGACTTTGGGTACGTTAGTCATATGATTTTCTATTATCATATTATATATATTCGTTTCCTTTAGCTATGAAGTGTGGCGCGAGTTTCCGGATCATATTGTTGGCTTTCCTAGTCGCATTCATGTGTGGGATAATGCAACGATGCGTTGGCACTACGAATCTGAATGGACCAATCAAATATCTATGGTGCTTACTGGCGCAGCATTTCATCATAAATACTGGAGTCATATGTATACGTATGCCATGCCAGGCGACATTAAACATTGGGTCGATGACCACATGAACTGTGAGGATATCGCTATGAATTTTCTTGTAGCGAATATCACAAACAATCCGCCAATTAAAGTAACGCCGCGAAAGAAGTTCAAGTGCCCCGAGTGCACAAATACGGAAATGCTGTCAGCCGACTTGAATCATATGCGGGAACGTTCAGCTTGCATTGATCGATTCGCCAAGATCTATGGACGAATGCCTCTGCGCACAGTTGAGTTCAGGGCAGATCCTGTACTATTTAGAGACAATTTCCCAGATAAATTGAAACGTTACAATGATATTGGAAGCTTGTAAGCCCTTAATATTTATATAAATATCATATATATTACAATTAGTAGGCGAAATTACTCAAGACTTAACCAAATATGATATATAAGTCAATGTTATATGGTATTGTAGTAACGATGAGACGTTCTGGACCTGCGTTCATAATAATTTTTTAAGTTTTAATCAAATAATAATAGAATATATGTTGATGCCATAGAACTTAATTATTCATTTAAGAGAGAGTATTCAAAAATAGGTCCTGCTATGATTTTCCTATATTAATGATTTATATGGATGTTGGCATGAGTTTACTGAAAATAATGATATTTCATATTCTTATCAACTGACATTAAACAATTGATCACTTTCATTAGACAGTGAAAATAAACACTTTATAAAACAAAACTAAGTCAATTTTCATAAACCTTTCTGTAAATTGATATAAAATCCCATTCGCCAAAATCAAGCAACAGAATTTCTCGTGCTGAGCAGAATTTTAATTTATTAAATATATAAATTTTTTAGGACCATATTATGAAAATGCAAAAATCTAAGGCTGGATTTCTCCGTTTAGTTGACAAATTAGAATAGTTTTTTTAATATCAATTAGGGGCAGTCAATTCTATGCTCCATTAACAGAAGCCAGATATTCTTTATAGCGTTGCTCCTGCTGTTGCTGGAGCTTTTGAAGTTTCTTGAGTTGTCCTTTGCTAATCTCTTTGCCGTCTTTGTCGTGTGTAGGAAGGCCCTACAATGAATTTTTTTATGAAATATGTATATGCTTTTGCAAATTATACATGTGTTTATATGTATTCAACTTACATCTTCACCAAATGCCGAGTACTTTTCGGTTTCATTGAGAAACATTTCTTTTGGATTGACGCGACGTTGAGCTTCCTTAGCTGCTGCCGCCTCTGCCAAGGCTTGTTTCTTGCGCTCTTTTTCCAAAGCCTTTTCCGCTTCAGCTGCCTGCTTGGCCTCGCGTTCGCGCAACAACATATCCCTGTCAACCAATTTGACGGCATACTTGCCATCATCTTTGTCTTCCAAGCGAACGCCCAAATTGGGTAAGACATCATCACGGAGATCATCACATAGCTTCAGTATGTCAAACGCTTTTAATGCCTTCGCTTGCTCACGCACTAAATTACGGAACTCGGCCACTGATTGGACGTATGGCATTACTACGGCCTCGTGATCATTGGTTGCTGAATCGGAATCAGCTCCTCTCAGCGGGAATCCTATGCCACCGCGCGGACCAGCAATAGCTCCAAATATATGCAACAGGTCCGTCACATAGCTGGCTATCTTCCGCAGCAACAGGCTGTTGAGTCTGGATTTATTGTCTCGTATGTAGACATTCGTCGTTGACACCAACTCCCGTACACAATCTAAAGCACTGCGCGTATCAATGTTATCTGAAATAGGCAAAGAACAATTTCGATCAGAGATATCAACATATACATAATTCAAATATGAAATCTTACCACAAAGAGCTGCATGAACTTGTGCCTGGACATCGTTAAATTTAGCTTGTAGGGCCGCCTCCACAGCTGTCCACTCACTAAATTGCTGCATAGGCTCTCCGGATAACACCTGCCGTGTTAGGTCTTTGACATTCAAAAAGAATTCCTAAAATCAAATGTAAAGTTTAGCTTGAGTATAATATTTGGGTAATTTAAACTTACATTGAGGAATTTCTCATATTGAGTTGCCATTTCCATGGTGTTTTCGGAGTAGTCGAGCGTGTCCTTCCAAGAGTGCAACAGGAATGCCAGACGCAACTGCGTTGCTGAGTGCTTTTTCAATGCCTCTTGAATTGTGACGAAATTCTTAAGAGACTTTGACATCTTGCAGCCGGCAATTGTCAGGTGGCCGGTGTGCAAGAAATACTTAACCCATTCTGATTCACCGAACGCAGCCTCGGACTGAGCCAGCTCATTGTCATGATGGGGAAACTTTAAATCGACGCCGCCAGTGTGTATATCAAATATGGATCCAAAGATATCTGAAGCCATGGCGGAGCATTCGATATGCCAGCCAGGACGACCACGACCCCAAGGACTATCCCACCAAGGCTCGCCAGCCTTGCTCGCCTTCCACAGGGCAAAGTCGTTTGCCGATCGCTTCTCTGACAGTCGATCCTCAGTGACAGACAAATCACCCTCGCCTTCCTGCAATGATGCTGTGTCTCCGTAGGCCTCGGGCACTAGCTTGGCGTAGTGATGCTTGTCGCGTTTGTCAAAGCCATTGACATCAAAGTAGACGGAACCGTTTACCTCGTAGGCAAGACCATTGTCAATAATACGCTGTATAAATGCAACAATCTGAGGCACGTACTCCGAAACTCGCGTTAATACATCAGGTGGTAGAATCTGAAATTATTCATCAATATATTATGAGTGCTTCAATAAAGCTATTTAGTTGACTTACATTGAGTGATTTCATATCATTGTGAAATTTATCTTCCCAAAATCGGGGTAGGGCTTCGAAGACGGAATTATCATTAACATGAGCACCTTGCTTTCCATCTAGCCACTCTGCAATGGGATCCTTTGCCTCATCCAAATAATGGCATCTCATTTTAGCAATTTCTGCTTCGTTGCCACTGCTGACAGCTTTGGTTAGACCTTCGACTGCGTCGTTCATACGTTGCAACATCTTTTCAAGCATTACTTTCTTATCAGCATCTGTATTTTTATCACACTTGACTTGTAATAAACTAAGCACTTCTTTTTGCTCATTTAGCAATTGCTCGAGTGGCAGCTGAGCAGCTGCAGTTGCATACTGCTCAAATAGATGATATTGACGGGCTCGCTTTATGATTTTATCGTCGATATCCGTAATGTTCATGACATAGTGGATGTTATAGCCAAAGTAGTCGGCCAATATACGTCGCAAAATATCAAATGAAATGTAAGATCTGTGAATCACACAAACATGACAAGATTAGATAGGGAAGACGTCGAGAATGCTGATGTGGCTCCTCACCTAGCATGTCCCATGTGCGAGGCATCGTACACAGTCGGACCGCAGCTATACCATTTAACATTGTTTCCGTCCAATGGTATGAATTCCTCCTTTTGTCTGGTTAGACTATTGTACAATTTCAATTGAGGCCTTGTTGAGGCTTTTGGTGCTTGCCACACCGGTTGCACACGCTTAGACATTTTGGGAATTCCTTTAATAGCGTTCGTAAATTCCAGCACGATTAGTAATCGGTGATTAATACTCGATGAAGTATTTTTGAAGTCAGCTGTTTAACTCGTTTACTAAGTCAGAGTTGCTAACAAAATATCGATATGCTTGTCCGGCAAATTCTTATTGGACAACATATTTTTTGAATATTCAGATTAAAACTTTTCAAATATTTAGCATTCTGCATTTATTGATATATGGCCCCCAATATTATTAAATACCAATTCAAAACATCAAATTATTTATACACTCAATAAAAGTATAGTATATAAACTGTATACAGAAATATATATATATATTTTTAGTTTCGGAAGCAACTAAATATCTGATTTTATATTTTTTGTCATAAATACTTCGTTAATGCTAGTATTTATATGTCTAATTGCTGCCAATGGGCTGTGATTTACAGGCAATCATATACACTGGAAAAAGTCCTTTCGGGAAATTTTGTTGACGCACCTTTCTTACAATTCGAAAGCCAGCTTCTCTTAAAAAGCGCTCATATGATTCAAGCGGACGCGTAATTGACGAATCCTCCTCATCCTTTATCACATCTTTAGATGTACTGACGTTTTCCTTAATGCAAAAGTAAGCACCTGGCTGCAAACTAAACCGCATGCGACGAAAAAATGCTACAAGATCCGGATCCGTCAGATGTCCTAAAACCCATTGACTCCAGATTAGATCATATTTATGAGTGGGTGAGAACTCTTGAAGTCCCATATTGTATATTTCGCCCAGGCTATGGCGACATACGGACTCTGACGTGCATATCTCTCGGGCCTTCTCAGCAAACGCAGCATCTTGTTCAACCAGATCAACCGTGTCAAACATCGGTATTAAAAGATTTCGTGACACTCGTCCAATTCCAGCACCGCAGTCCAGAGCTAATTTCTTGCCTGGCACTTTAAGTTCACGGAGAAATATCCTTGACCCTTGTATATCGATTGCGCTGATGTAGCCAAGACCACCGAGCATCCCGTTTACAGTTGCTGGAACTTCCGACCAATATTTTTGTGCCTTGTTATAAAATTCAGGTACAACCTTTTCATTTTTCAATTTGTTGGGGCTTTGAGCTTCGTGTTTCTCTTCCAGCACTTCATCTTTATGGTTGTTTACTGTTGACAAATTTGGTGAGTCCTCCTTGTCACAGGCAGTCATAGGATTTGTATCTAGCTTAGAATACATGTTCGTTGTTGTATAATTCTAGTCATAAAATTTGTAGTAGTTGAATACTAAGTAGTTAAATTATCGTCAATGCCACTTACCGCATACTTAGATTAATTTATAACAAATAAATGTGCGCAGGGCTGCATCATAATTATTTTTTTTAAACTAGTTCTTAGAAGAACCAAACAAAGCTCAAATATGTTACAAGACTATTAATATCGATATACAGTGTATTCGATACATTAAAGAAAAGAAAATAAAATCAACAGGCGTAATTTTTGTCAAGCTGCAAAAACTTTATTTATTTATTTAACTAGAAATAAAAATGACTCTCGATGTCGATGCTCAAAAGAAAGATGATAAACTTTTACTTGCGACAATACACCAGGAATATAAAATTCTAGCGGAATAGTAAGAAAGTACAAATTTACATTGCCAAAACAATAACAAAGGCATTTTACAGCAAAATGATTGAGTCAGAAAAGGTCTCAGGTATATATGTAATTCCGAGCTATGCTAATTCGTTGCGTGAGTATATTTATATTAAATAGCATCAACAACAAAGTATAATACTTATTTAACTTAATTTTCGTAGAATGGTTTGGCGTGTTCTTTGGCCGACAAGGTTTCTATGAGAATAGTGTATTTCGATTTTCAATACTGCTACCGGATGGTTTTCCGGACGATAAAACCACTCCAGTAAGCACCTAATTATGTATACTTTCATGTTTTTATAATTGTAATTTATTCATTTAAGGCCATTGTCTTCCAACAAAACGTTGTGCATCCACTTGTGTGTCCATTCACAAACAGCTTAGACATCAGTCATGCATTCCCGGAGTGGAGATGTGGAGAAGATCACCTTTGGCAAGTGCTGAAGTACATGCAAGTGATATTTGCCGATCCCTTGGACTGCATACGTAGTGTGGGCAATACGCAGGAGCTGAAAAACGTGGAGGCAAGCAAGCTGCTGACCACTAATCGAGAAGCATTTGCTGGACTTGTTCAAGAAAGTATTGCAGAGAGCAAAGCCCATATCTATGATACGCCACCAACAGAGGATCCGCATTATATAGTATTTGAAAAGTTCCAAGAAGACATACACGGGCCAGTCTTAGATCAAATACGAAATGGAAGGACTACAAATTCGTCTCCAGAAAGTGGCGGCGGAGGCGCGGCCACTGGTCTATCATGGGTTAAAGTTAAAGAAGGCGAATTTAAACCATTAAGCATTGAATAGTCATAACAATCAACGTATGTGTGTAAATTATATAACATTCTATTAGTTAATTAATATCCTGCAGTCTTATGAGATAAATAATTAAGACTTCTTTATGAACTTTTCACAGTTTTTTATCCACTCGTGCTCCAGCTCTAGTTCAGTGTCATCCCAAAGAAAATGTGTTGGCGGTTTGTCATCGCTAGAAAACACGAACCTCTGGCTGAGCTCGATAGCCAATTTAGAGCGCACGAGTCCAATGCCACCGACTTGTGGCCAAGCTGGATGATACACTCGTCCGGTTTGCGGGTGCATATAGAGCTTATGTGGCTGAAAGGGAATCGATAGATCTGGACCACCATGTGCATATGTTAATATATGATCAGTTCGACCATCTGCATCCTTTTTTAGGTGCTCTGTAAAAACAATGGGCGTGTCATCACAGCGAATATAATTCCTTTCACGACCGCAAGGCGACAAGTAGGGAAACATTTCATAACGCTGTGTTTCATTGAAGCGCAGGCGGCTGAAGAAGAATTTCAGGAATTTCTTCTCTTTAAAACAAGATGTGAAGTTTTTCATTTTGGCATCGTCTAAAAAGAGCTGCAAGTGAAAAGCAAAATGGCAACAAGAATATCGGAATACATGCATGCATACATCTACGCACATGCACATATCTAGAAATAATATACATGTGTGTACATACACACCATGCCTTCGTGATCGATGTAATAGAAGTACTCTCGTATCCTTGGCTCAGGCGACTGTCCCTGGGTATAGAGCGCGACAGTGCGCCGTGGAATCCAATTGAATATCCAATTTTTAAACACTAGGTTCTTCGTGTGGAGTACAGCAATACCTTGATCGAGGAAAGAAGTCGATCAGCGGATTGTTTACAATATTAATATAGTACATTCATATATGCATGATCCATTTTTAATGTATGCGTGTGTATATTCAGAATATTTAACTGAAATTTTTTTTTATATTATAACAAGTTTATTTATATGAATCCTAGGGATAGTGGGGAAAGTCTATTTTTTCTTTTTATCATTAGTACTGCCGGTCTTTTGCATGCGAGCCACTTGCATGTTCTTTAGCTTTTCATTTAGCTTCTTTTTAGCATTTTTGTGCTCTTCTTCCTGTCGTATGGTTTTCAATGGCTTGGGATGCAGAAATTCTTTTCGGGCTTCTCGCTTTTTTAGCTCACCACAGCCGTGAACCTCGGGCAGGCCGTGCTTGAAACAGAAACGTTTGCTGCAGTGCTCGCAGTCCTGGCCCATTAGGCTGGTTCTGGTCTTGCAGCGTGGATAATCGCACAGGTTATCTACTGTTTTAACGGCAGTGAGTACTTCATCTAACTTGAGATCGACCACTTGGCTGGGTATGCGCTCCAAGAGCTCCAGTGTGTTGTTCGTGCCATAATTGGCTGGTTTACCAGGCTTAGTTGGTGGGAAAAGTGGCGCAGTGTCTACATTGGCTGAGGGCGATTCATTGCTGCTGGTGGCTTTTTGTTGTTTCGCCTTGTCTACATATGCAGCACTTAGTGAAATGTTTTTCAACGATTGCAATATATTTATTACCTGCCATTGTAAATTGATAAGCTAAACAAGACTTTCGTCAATTTTAGACTAACGTTATGCAGCACTATATAGAATGTTCACCAGAAACAAATTCGGTATTTTTTAGTATATTTTGTCATGTCGAAAGAGAAAAATACAGGGTGCTCTTTTGTTGAACTTTTCAATTTTAAAACAATAATTATGTTGTTGAAAACATATTTTAATTTAAAAAAGGTATTCTCATTTGTCGCATCTCTTTTTTTTTTTTTAATACAGTCATTAAAAATTAATCGAAACACAAAAACTGATATTATTGACATGAAATATGGACAAAGTGAAAATAACAAACGCAAGAATTTGATTACATATTTATTTGATTAATGCATTGCAGCTGACATTGATTACAAATTTACTATAAAATGCTAAGCAGAGCTATTTAATACACTTGTATAATTCTAGAAAATGCAATCTCCTAATGCTTGCGGAAGTTACTCGTAACTCGACATTTTTTGTTATATTTTCGAGGTACCTCTCATGTAGGACACCATTCTTTAAGAATTGATTCTCGTTTCTTATAAGTTAGCTGGAGTTAAGGTCACAGCTGCATGAATAGCCTTTGCCACATATTCAATATTTCCAGTGTTCAGACCGCACATATTTATTCTGCCAGTTTTCAGCAAATAAATGTGGTACTCCTTGATCAGCACGGCCACTTGTTTCTCATTGAGGCCCGTGTAAGAGAACATGCCAATCTGGTTGACAATGTGATCCCAATTGCCGGGTGTTCCCAATTCCACCAGCTTCTCTCGCAGAAGTTTACGCATTTCCCGAATACGACTCGACATGCCCTTGATGCAGTCCATCCACTCTTGACGCAGTGCTGGGGTATTCAATACCTTGGACACTATGCGAGCTCCATACGCTGGTGGATTTGAGTACAAGCCGCGAATGAGAAGAGTTATCTGCGAATGGATCGGATCACGGGTGGCGCCGCTTCGCTGTACTATCGTTAAGTTTCCAACTCTCTCGCAGTACAAGCCGAAATTCTTAGCAAACGATTGGCAAACAAATAGCTCGAATCCACGATCCACAAAGTAACGTATCGCCCAGGCATCCAGATCGGGATCGCCGCTGGCAAAGCCCTGGTATGCAGAATCAAAAAGTGGGAATAGTTGCTTCCGCTCAATCAGATCGGCAATTTTCTTCCATTGGTCTTGAGTGGGATCCATGCCCGTAGGATTGTGTGCACACGCATGTAGGATAATGACTGCGCCAGCCGGCGCCTTATCTAAATCAGCGAGCATGCCCTCCAAATCCAGCTGACGTTTGTTTTGGTCCCAATAGCGATACGAGTTCAGACTGGTAAATCCGGTATCGGCAAAAATCTTGTGATGATTCTCCCATGTCGGATTCGAGTAGTACACAGTGTTGCGTTTCAATTGACGAAACAAAAATTCAGCAGCTACGCGCAGAGCTCCTGTTCCCGAAATCGTTTGCACACCAAAGGCCTACAATATAATAATAGGGGAATATATATAATATTATAAATATAAAGTATACGACTGTTTGTCTTCTTTCAATTATTCTGGTTCATTATATATTTATATATGTATGTATCTCATTTGACAAACTTACACGCTTCTCTTTTATTGCTATTGAGTCCGCACCTAAGACCAATTCAGTTGCTGCACGCGTAAACGTATCCAATCCTTAATTATATATGTAGATGTGTTATTAGACAAGACTAGGTTGGTATTATCTCAAAACTCACCCGTTACTGGCAAATATTCATGATTAATTGTCTCATCGGTGGCGATGGATACTTCTGTTTTTCTCACCACAGGCAGGACCCATGGCTGACCTTCATCCGTTCGGTAAGCTGTGTATGAGATAAGCCATGGATTATACACACATACATATACGATAAAAGAGAAAATGAGAAGTTCTCAATATTAAAGCGACACTCATGTTCCATTCCTAGAAACTAAAGAGCCAAACATAACAGTATTAAAAGGTATTGATCATTTAAGGGCATCTTAAGAAAGATTTCTAATTTCATATTCCTTTAATATGATTAAATAAAGCAAATCTACTACATATACACAAAAAAAATAAATAAATAAAAATAAAATAAAAATGCCAATCAATATTAAATTGCTTCCTTTAAGGGGTACCGGAAAAATATGTACATACATACATACGAATATCTTGGTGCGTTTATTAAATACAAATCAGCTGATAGTTGATAAGATACGAGCACTAGCCAGAGAGCTCTCTGGTTAGTGATACGAGTCAGTGATTAGGGATTAAAGGTCATTTCATACAAATTCACTGCAAATGATTATTGAATATTATTATTTGGATCAGAGTTCAAAATCTGTTAAACAGAACTAAAAACAATTTGATATTTTAGCTAAACAATTGACGTAGTTGAGCTTATAATATATGCATAGAAGATTAAACATGTACATATACATATATGTTTGTATGCATGCGTACACATATAAACTAATTTAGTTGTATTTGTTTCTAGGTATGAAAACATAAATAGAAATTTGGGTTCATAAATACATTTATTGTCTATACTATAAACATAAATCATGTGTTATATGCATGTATAAACAATCGTAGCATACATGCTTGTATATATGGCATTTTAAACCGGCTGTTAAAAGGAATAGTAGTTCATTGACTGTAACATTTGACATCTAAATGCCCTCTATACAAAGCTTGCTATCTAAGCTTACGTTAGTATATACATACAAACATATAAATATTACAAGCACCCAGCCATCATACATACATACATGTGAGCACATATTACATACATATATACATATCTATTTAGCAGAACGCGAACTAGAGATGGGCCGCCAATTAGAACAGCATTCAAAATGAATGGAAGACTTTAATAAGCACGTACATATATGCACATACATACATATACATATTTATCTATATTTATAGTGCATTCCATTTATATTCAATGTTTAGCATCCAAACATGTACATATGTATTTCTAAATAAAGGAATGTAAAGCAAGGTCAAATTACCGGAATTATATAAATATGAATATATGTATGTATGTACATATAAATTATTTATATTGATAACTATGCTTGTTTAGTGTCACAATACTTACCGCCTACGGACAGATTCACTTTCGGTGTATTAACATCATCCCTAAATGCTTGCGTCAAGGCAAACACTTCAATAGCCGGTCCTTGTTGCACATCGGCATAAATTGATGAAGCCATCGTACGCTGCAGATCCACGCGAAACGTTTGTAATAAATAAACCTTTACGTCGGCGAAATTTGATTGCGAATCAGCTAATTATCGATATACTCGATAATACATATATCGATATAATAAGTATAAAACAATATTTATTCTCTTGATTGGTTTAATACTTAATTTATTTAATGATTGAATGCTTAATACATCTTCTTATTATTGACTGTTAAATAAATAATGATATTTTTAGTGAGCAACAAGTGTTTAGTGTGTTTATTAGGGATTCTAATTTTATCTCGCATTGGCCACACCTAACTTAAATAGGCGGCAAAAACTAAATAAAAACGTTAACATAGATACATATTTAAAAAAGGCATATGTTTAGAAAAGAATTTCAAATTTAACTGTTGAAATAATTACATAGTAATTATTTTTTTAAAATATATTTTGTGTTTATGAAAACTGAATGCATACATATTTATATAGATGTGTAGTAGTTCATTGCAGGCAGCAACTGTCAGCAGCATCTGAAAAATTATATATCAATAGTTAAGTTAACAACATTTCAATTATTTTAGGTCTCGTAACTGAATTCCATCAAAGACCGTACTTTAATTTGTTGTAAATTTCGATAAAGTAATATACATTGCATGGTTTACTTACTCACGCTAACCAGTTCCAGGTCAGCTCATTGGCCTCACAGCCTTGTAGAGTTCTTTAACCTAACTGATCATCAGTTTTGGCCCAGTATATGACGATTCGCCCCATTTCTGACTTTCACTGAACTGCGCATTTTAGGTTCAAAATGTGACTGTCTTCCCTGTTTCCCAAGTTAATTAAACCAAATTAAAAAAAAAAAAAAATAAAAATAATAATAAAAAACAGGTATACAAAGTGCGAAATACTTTGCTAACAATAAAATTATTCACATATTTATTTAAAATACTTGAGAATGATCGAAGCTAAGTAACAAAATGCCTAGCCGCTTCAGTAGGCATCGCGCCAAATGTCTAAAATTCCTTCTCTTATCCTTCACTCATTAACCCAACAATCTTCAGCGCTCAAAACAAAAAAATAAACAACATATTTTTTTAAATCTCAACAACGCTTTGTTACTCTTTCTTAAAATACTTATGCAACAACGAAAACTTTGAAATGAGTATGACGAGCCCTCTAAAAATGTAGCCATACTTCTCTCTTAGAATGAAAGTGTCAACTTTTGTGCAATGCTGCGTACATACATGCACGTATACATATGCAATTTCGAGAGAGCGGCGGAGAGTAAACAGAAGCTGATGTAGCGAAACTGGCAATCTCGCTCGATCGCACTATGCCCGATTTTATTGCTTGTTCCGAGTATAAGACTTTAAAGTATAAGAGTATATGTAATGGGTAGAAAGTGGTAGAAGCGGTAGACGGGATCTGCTCTACACATTTCTTGGCGGTTGTAACTGATTATTCTAGTCAGTTCATCTATGTATGTGTTGTTTGTTTAGTGATTCCATGCACACACCTATTTACATATATGCATACAGTCGAGTCAATGCCTACACACACCAACACACACATAAGTACGACTGAAAGCTTTTCCCTGCTTTTGCTACTATCACCTTGAGATTTGGAATATTTGTTCACGTAAAATGAAGTCGAGCAAAAATGTAAAGATTATATAATTTTATATGCATATCGAATATCTGACAATATCTATATTTTCCACAGTTGTCGAGCAAGAGCATTGAACCATCAAAGCTGCTTAGCTTAATGTCTAGCTAAAATGTTTGTTGGTTGCTAATAGCAACAGAAATTTGTTTATAACGAATGCTTGGGGGAATGGACTATACATAAGAGAGTCGAGAATTCCAGTTCAATTGCGAAATGTCAAAGGCAACAACAATTAAGGAAGCGCTTAAACGTTGGGAAGATCGAGAGCAACAAAATTCGCTGACTGCCAAACAAATAGATTTGCAATTTCAATGGCCACCGATTGAGAAAATGGATAATACATTAGGAACGCTTGTGTGCTGCGAGTAATATCCCAATCAAAAGTTATTGAAATTCAATAATTAAATTCCATATATTGTAGAAGAATCAGCTTGTCAACAAATATGATTGAGAAAATCTTTGGTCTGTCAGGCATGAAATGTTTGAAGGTTTTATCTTTATCGCGAAATTATATCAAGCAAATATCGGGATTGGTACGTCAATAAAGACAGTTAAATAATAATTATTATCTACTGATATATGTATTTGTACATACAAATCTATTTTTTAGGAAGCTGTTGCGGAAACATTGGAAGAACTCTGGCTTAGCTACAATCTTATAGAAAAACTAAAAGGTTTGAGTGCTCTGAAGTGCCTGAAGGTGCTTTACATTAGTAATAACTTAATCAAGGATTGGTCGGAGTTTAATCGCCTGGCCGAAATAGAAACTCTTCAGGATTTAGTTGTTGTGGGCAATCCCTTGTCGGAGGGCCTGGATGAGCCCACTTGGAGAGCTGAGTGCACCAAGCGCCTGCCAACTATACGAAAACTAGATGGCGAACCAGTTGTTCTTAAGGAGGAACCAATACTCTAATAAGGTTAAGCCATGTATGACTAAAAATAATGAATAAATGCCTATATACTCTGTGTTTAAGGTATCTTCTAGTCAATCATACCCGGCCACGCGCTGTTCAAAAATGTTTTCAACAAGGTTGTGAACTTCTAAGCTTCACCATATTAACGCCATGCATTAGCAAAATCTTATCAACATCGGATGACTATATTATATAGCTCCTATAGAAACAGTCGCGCAAAAATCAAATGATTCACAAAAAGGAAAAAAATAATACTCAGTTTTTTATTATGTTCACATAGGTACATATTTAATAATCTCTTGAATACCTTTTATTTCGAATATAACCTAATTCCGCTAATAAACCAAGTTCAAAATATGAACATTAATCATTTGAGGACAATTTTACAAGGGTATTTCTGAGAACTTCGTATTTAGTATAATCAATATAATATTTTATAGAGCTCTACGTGGCCCCCAGACCATACTAGATAAAATGTGACCCAAGAACTGTTTGCCCTTGCCACGCCTCACTTTTAATGAATTATTTCGTTATCTTTCAAAGATTGAGGTAGGAATATTTCTGTTAATCACACATATTTTAGTAGATTACAGGTAGAGTAAGCTATAAGCGAGACAAGTTATAGGAAAGCAAGTCACAGCGAAATACTATATATATATATATATATATGGTTATATAGATAAGTTAAGGTTATTTTAGATAAGATTATTTATATAAGAAAATACGCCTAGGCGCCGTTTTATTCAAAATAAAACATTATCTTATTATTATAAATGGAAGACTATATGGAATCTACCGCCTTGATTAACGGCACGTGCTGTGCGAATATAGCAGACAGACGGCGACCGAAATATATTTATAATGGAAAATATGTATTGTTCAGCCAGCGGGCACTGCAAACACACTACAGCTGAGTATTCTTGTACTTTAATAATTCCATTTTATTATAATATGAGTATAGCTACTACATAGCTTAATTCCTGCTGTATAAAGTTCATTCATTTGTACAACTGCATTAGTGATAATCAAATATTATAAAATATATAATATATATATATATATGTATGAAGATAGACAGCCAACGAAATAGGTTAGCTTAGTCGACTGGTAATTGAAATTCCCTACTGTGTTTTGCTAAAATACCATTATAGGAATTTAATTTGATAATTAAAATTATTACATAATATGAATAACACGTCAAACTAAACCATCAGCATTACTAATGTATAATATAATAAATATTTCATTCATGCCATTACGTGAATTATAGCAATCTCATCTTTAGTAGGAGATTCTATTTACTTAAGACTAACAGCAATCGCAATGATTATATTGAAACACTTTGATTGTGCGCGTGCGTTGTAGACGTTCAAATTTGTTGTTTAACAACCTGTCTGGATGCCGTATATATACGTATATACGTATGTATGTATGTACAATAATCGTACGACATGTTTGGTCATTTGGACGATTTGATACTGAACTTGATTCGCACTTTCGCTGACCTTCGCCGGAGTCGACAATGACAGCTGCGGCTGTGGCTGCGGCTATCGGCCCAGTTATCAGGGCCTTGGCAAATATCTATCAGCTCTATCTATAAGCTCTCAGTGTGGCATCTAAGTTTTGTATTTAATTAATTAATTATGCCAAAATGACGGCAAACCCAAACTGAAGTTTTTAATACGAATTTTTTCTTATCACAAACTATAAATATTTTATAAATGTGTGCTATATAGGTGTGTATAGTTATAAGAGTGTGAAGGATAGAGAGGACAAGTTAGAGAGAGAGAGAGGGAGAGAGAGAGAGAGAGAGAGAGAGAGAGAGAGAGAGAGAGAGAGAGCGATCAAATGAGATTAAATGCTATGCAAAAAATCTATTGATTAACTATTGCTACAAATTTTAAGGTAGAGCTGGAAAAGCCTGGGTGTTACTTGAGTTGCATTATCAGATTGTTGTAGATCAATTTAGTTTGAATTGATTATTTCTTTATGTCTATATATATTTCATTATCAAGTCTCCATCTATATGCCTCCATTCAAATGCATCTATAATCCTTTGAATATTTTTAATTTTATTATTATTTTGTTATTATTATTCAAGAATGTGTGTCAATTGAAGTGTTTTATATACCTGTAATTAATTCAATTTGCACCCATTAATATGCATTTATAATAAATAATGAGAAGCTGCGACGCCTATTTGCATAATTAAATACATTGCAACTAAAATTTTCACCTCTATTTAAATAGAAAACAAAAATAAATTAAATCTGTGTGTTCTCTCAATATATAATATATACATAAATGTGTATAGTTTTCGATCTTAAAAAACATGCAAGTCAATCTACTGATTTCTGTCTATCTATCAGTTCAACTAATAGTCAATCTGTCTCTACAAGTATGTATGTATGTATGTATGTACATATGTAAGTATAAGCATGTCTACTTCTCGCTCTTATCTATAAGAGCTGTAGACACTAAAATAAAAATTGACATAAGTTTCTTATACTATCAAGAA